CGGCTGACCGCCTTCAAGCGTCTGAGCTCCGGGACCGCGAAGCACCGCGTTTGGAGTGTTCATGGGTGACACAGATGTTGATCTCACAGCCTGGTACTGCCACCCCTGCGTGCTCATGCGTGACACTGACAGTGACCTCACAACCGGGTAATGTCACTGCTGGGTGCTCATGGGTGACACTGATGGTGACCTCTCAGCCTCCTACTACCACCACTGTGTGCTCATGGTTGACACTGACTGTGACCTCACAGCCTCCAAATGCCATCTAAAGCCAGTAGGAGGCTCTGAGGTCACCATCAGTGTCACCCAAGAGCACCCAGCGGTGGCAATACCAGGCTGTGAGGTCACCATCAGTGTCACAATGAGCACCCAGCGCTGGCACTACCAGGCTTTGCGGTCACCATCAGTGTTCCCCAAGAGCACCCAGCGCTTGCAGTATGAGGCTGTGAGGTCACCATCAGAGTCACCCAGGAGCACCAGGCGGTGGCGGTTCCAGGCCGTGCAGCACCCACCCGGGTACTCCGCGGTGGCAGTACCAGGCTGTGAGGTCACCATCATTGTCACACGTGAACACCCAGTGGTGGCAGTACCAGGTTGAGGCAGAAAAGGGAGCCGGAGGTAGACGCCAAGGTGGAGGCAGAGGTGGAAGTGGAAAAGGGAGGCGGACATGGAGGCGGGAGGTGGAGGCGCAAGGCGAAGGCTGGAGGTGGAGGAGGAAAAGGGAGGTGGAACAGGGAGGCGGAAAAGAGAGGCAGAGGTGGAGGCGGAACATGGAGGCTGAAAAGGGAGGCAGATAATGGAGGTGGAAGTGGAGGCGAAAAAGGGAGGCGGAAAAGGGAGCGGAAAAGGGCGTCAGAAAAGTGAGGTGGAAGTGGAAAAGGGAGGCGGAAAAAGGGAGGCAGAGGTGGAAGCGGAGGTGGAGGTGGAAAAGGGAGGCGGAGGTTGAGATGGAAAAGGGAGGCGGAGGTGGAGTCCATCAAACCCACGTCTCTCCAATTTAAAGACAAGGATGTCGTGTGGGACAGTGTCAAATGCTTTGCACTCGTCCAGGTACATGCCATCATTTGCAGAGTGATACTAGCACTTATTCTGCAGTTGGACTGGATGATCACTGTCAGTCCTTCCCAGTCCCCACTCTGATCAGATATTTCCTTCATGTTTCAATCCTTTAACTTTTTCATATTCTTCCTAGATGGTTGCTATCACTCACACTCTCTATGCAGCCTCTCTCTAGACAGAACATGAATGAAAACAAAAATTCTACCACCAGCTCTACCTGCCAAGGAACAAACTGTAACTCTCACCCTGAATTGACCCCAGACTTTTGTATCACTGGAGTGCCTAAAACGTATCTCTCGCTTATGGGAGAGGAACATCTCTGCAGACACCAAGGTCAGGGCAGAAGGAGGTGGAGGAGGTGCTGCAGGCACTGGTGTAGAGATTCCCCTGCAGTACGTGGTGAAGACCATGGTGAGGCAGCTGTGCCCCTGCAGGCATGGAGGGTAACGGTGGAGCAGAGATCCACCTGCAGCCATGGAGGACCCCAAGCCAGAGCAGGGGGATGTGCCCAAAGGAGGGTGTGACCCCGTGGGAGTCCTGCACTGGGGCAGGCTCCTGGCAGGGCCTGTGATCCCATGGACACAGTGGCCCAGGCTGGAACAGGTTTGCTGGCAGCACTTGTGACTCCCGTGAGGCACCCACACTGGCACAGTCTGTTCCCGAAGGACTGCACCCTGTGCAAGGGACCCACGCTGGAGCAGTTTGCGAAGAACTGCGGCCCATGGGAAGGACTCCGGTTGGAGATGTTCATGGAGAAGTGTTTCTGTGGGAAAGACCCTACAGTGGAGCAGGGGAAGAGTGTGAGGAGTCCTCACCCTGAGGAGGAAGGAGCAGCAGAGACAATGTGTGATGGACTGACCACAACACCCGTTCCCCATCCCCCTGTGGTTTTGCAGGGAAAGACACAGAGAAATCAGGAGGAAAGTTGAGCCCGGGAAGAAAGAAGGTGTGGGGGGAAGGTGTTTTATGATTTGGTTTTATTTGTAATTACTCTGCTGTGATTTGATTCATAATGAATTAAATGAAATTGGAGCCTGTTTTGCTGGTGATGGTAACTGGTGAGTGGTCTCCCAGTCCTTATCTCGACCCATGAGCCTTTTGACGCATTTTTCTCCCCCTGTCCAGGTGAGGAGGAGGAGTGATAGAGCAGCTTGGTGGGCACCTAACCTCCAGCCAGGGTCAACCCACCACAGAAGCAGAACATTTCCTTCCCTTTAAATTGTTTCTATATTTTCTTTGTTGCTTCATTTTTTTTTTTTTCATTTTCTGAATGATTCTGTCATAATCATGTCATCTCATATGGGGTGTCAGAGACACCCCTGCTCTGGGCTCTTCCAGGGTCTGGACAGTGAGCAAGGTCGAGCAGGGCTGGCCATTCCCCCGTGCAGGCACTGAGCCCAGCAGGAGGAGGGCAATGGCCATGCAGCAAAACTCACCCATGAACCTGTGGGGAGCGGCCAGTGCTGGACGTGGCCCATGAGCGAGGCCACCAGTGACTGCTCACTCCAGCCCCATTCCCTGACACATTGCCCCATGTCCTCCTCCTCTCAGCCCATGGAGAACCCCAGTACAGCAGCACAGCCCCATCCCGTTCCTGACCTCAGCTTTGTAAGAAGAGCCCAACCTCCAGACACCAGCACTGAGGAAACCCCGTTTTATTACAAAGATGTGACACGGGAGGCCAGCTGTGCCATCCTGCCAGACACATGTGCAAAGAGCTCTGAGTCAGACAGGCTGGCGTCATGCCTCTGGGGAAGTGGAGGGGATGCAGACATTCCTGGGTAAATATGATTATCACAGAGAAAAAACCTAAAGCACAGGAGATTCCCCAGACATGTTGGAAATAATTTTCGAAAAGATGCATGAAGGGTTTATTGCTGCTGAACAACTACTCATTGAATCAGTTTCTTCAGTGCATCTTTGAGCTCCTGGTTCCTCATGCTGTAGATGAGGGGGTTCGCTGCTGGAGTCACCAATGAGTACAGAAATGACACCACCAGATCCAGGGATGGGGAGGGCATAGAGGGGTCTTCAGATGGGCAAATGTGCCAGTGCTGACAAACAGGGAGACCACGGCCAGGTGAGGGAGGCACGTGGAAAAGGCTTTGTGCCGTCCCTGCTCAGAGGGGATCCTCAGCACGGCCCTGAAGATCTGCACATAGGACACCACAACAAAAACAAAACATCCAAATGCTAAACAGGCACTAACCACAAGTAGCCCAACTTCCCTGAGATAGGTCCATGAGCAGGAGAGCTTGAGGATCTGGGGGATTTCACAGAAGAACTGGTCCAGGGAATTGCCCTTGCAGAGAGGCAGTGAAAATGTATTGGCCGTGTGCAGGAGAGCATTGAGAAACCCACTGCCCCAGGCAGCTGCTGCCATGTGGACACAAGCTCTGCTGCCCAGGAGGGTCCTGTAGTGCAGGGGTTTGCAGATGGCAACGTAGCGGTCATAGGCCATGACGGTGAGGAGAGAATATTCTGCTGAGAACAAAGAAAGCAAAAAAGACCTGTGCAGCACATCCTGAGTAGGAGGTGTCTCTGGTGTCTCAGAAGGAATTGTCCATGGCTTTGGGGACAGTGGTGGAGATGGAGCCCAGGTCAAGGATGGAGATGTTGAGGACGAAGAAGTACATGGGGGTGTGCAGGCGGTGGTCGCAGGCTATGGCGGTGATGATGAGGCCGTTGCCCAGGAGGGCAGCCAGGTAGATGCCCAGGAAGAGCCAGAAGTGCAAGAGCTGCAGCTCCCGCGTGTCTGTGAATGCCAGGAGGAGGAACTGGGTGATGGAGCTGGTGTTGGACATTTGTTCCCTTTAGGCATGGGGACCTGTCCAAAAAGAAAAACACAATGACAGTCAGGGAGAGCAAAACCCCATGTCATTTCTCATAGCAATGCCTCTCCCTGAGCTGAATGAGAAATGTTTCAGATAATTTCTCACCCCAACCAGCTGAATCACATGGTGTCTCACAGCTTGGGCACCTCGTTCCCATCAAGACAGCTCCAGGGCAGGACCCTCAAGACAGCTCCAGGGCAGGACCCTCAGAGCTGGTGTCACAACAGATGCTGCCATGATCCACTCCAAACCCCAGAGAGCAAGAGCACCACAAAATGTGGGGAAACAGGGAAGAAAACTGCGATGTGCCAGGAAAACAAGCAAGAAGAGAAAGGTAAGTGGGCATGTTGTGAAACCTTCTCCTTACCCTGCCTTGCTCTCCACCTCACAGACAGTGGCACTGCAGGGCAGTTGCTTTTGTCTGGTTTGTTGTGTTAAGTGTAGGACACATGAGCTTCTCTTAGACTGGAGCTCCAGCTGCCAAAGATGGGACTCACTCCCTGGACCCATGGCCATCCCAAGGCATTGCTGGGTGGGAGAGGAGAGCAGGGCCTTGCTCCCGGGAAGGTGCACGCAGTGCAGGCAATGGCAGGGAGGTGCCTGAATCCCCTCCCATGGGGTTTCCCGCAGCACTCCTGCTCACTCCCTGCCCAAGTCTCTGCTACCTGGAGCTATTCCTTCCAGCAGCTGTTTCTCTATCCCCATGTCCCTTCCATGCCCACAGACCCCATCCCACCTGCTTTGTGCTCAGCTCTGCCCTGCAGACCCCTCCTGGCACCTGGGCACTGCCCAGAGACATTTCAGTGTGTGCAGCAGCTCAGAAAACTGCAATTGAGAACTGGTGTCTCTGTGCCTTCACCAGAAAGGAGAAAGACATTCCCATCTCCCACTGCCCACCCAGCCAACCACAGAATCACAGAATCACAGAAT